CCAGATCACACACGATATGATAAGTACCTTGACCAAATGCCAATATTGACCGATTATCTCCTAGATGAACAATACTTGGTTTGTCAAATGCTATGTATTCTGTTAAGCGATCCTTCTCACTGGTCATGTGTTGTGTTGCTCCCGAGTCAATAATCCATACTGATTTATTCAGCAGATCAGTAGCTACCAATGCTTTCTATTCCTTAGTCAAAGCATCTTCTTTCTGTGCATACCGAGCTGAATTCTTCTTATCCTTTTGATGGAAGGTGTTCCCACCACTTTTCATATTCCGCTTTGGGCAATCACGGGCGAAGTGCCCAACTTCTTTGCAATTATGACATTTTCCACGAAATACCATACCATTTTTCTCATTATTGTTGCTTTGCCTTTCATATATTTTCCCCGTACTTTATATGCATTCTCTTTAGCTTTTGTATTCACACTCCTTTCAACATCGTTCAATAACATATTTTTCACCTTATCATATGATAGATTCTCATCACCCTGCATCTAGTGCTGTAATCAGGGGTTTAAACTCTTCCGGCAAGCTGGCAAGCAATGTCATGGCCAGTTCCTTATCATCGATTGACACATTCATTTCTTTCAGTTGATCGTGCAAAGATTTTAACTGACTTACATGTTCCATCATATCATTACCTGGATGAAAACGAAGCGAGTAGTATTGTTGTCTTAAGCGTACTTTTTGCAGCAATGATTCACGAGCAAACTGCTTTTTCAGGGCATCCCAAGCTTCCTTGGCTGTGTTTGTATCTCTAACATGAATCTGGTATTCGGGTTCTATGGCTAAACATATATATGTCCAGGCTTTCTTCGCACTTGAAACGAATTTTCGTCGCACTTCTGCATCAGCATCTTCCGTTGGAGTTTCAGCCGTTCCATCTGTATGCTCAAACAAATCATGACTCTCCAAATATAAGCGCATGTTGAAGGACCAAGAGCGGTAATTCGACCCATTCAGTTTCGCGAATTTCAACGTGTTTACATCAGCCATGTTTAACACAAAAATTTCATTAAATATATTTCATACACATTCATTCGGTTTACCTAATCGTACTTAGGCGTTCTGGGCCCATAACCAGAGCCCTCTATAGTATAAGAGTTGGGACATCTATTGTTATCCGTTTAGCTTACGTTGATTGGGCAATATTGATCACCTGATCAATTTCCGCCATTTTGGTTCCTAGTTTTGAAATTTTTGCTTGTGTTTATATAGCAATTGCTGCTAGTAATACAGTATTTTGAGATAATATTGCGTTTTTTTATGGATAAGTGTGTAATAACTGATTGTTGAAGGCTACTAAATGTCATTACATAATCGCATAAATCGAGGATTACGAAAAAAATGAAAGAAATGCCTTTACGTCGAACTTACGAAATTTGATTGCGTATGGTGATTGTTGTGCTGAACTGCTTTTGATATAAGGTTCAATTAACTGACTCAAGTAGAGAAACATTTTGGGCCAAATAACATTGCAAAGTTCGTGCTGATGCAGTTTCAATAGTTTTCTTACTCCAAAGCTTGTTTTTTAATCGAAGATGATTTCTCATTATGTTCTGAAATTGGTCAATCTACAAACCTCTCAATTCTCAGCCACTTCCATACTAAAACAACTACACCAAATCACAGAAACTCTTATGATTTTCCATGTTGTATTTTGTATTTTTAGTTCATCATTTAAAAATGAAGTAATTATAATTAGGATATTCAATGAAACAGCTGAGTACAATATATTTTTGGTATTGAATTGTACAAATGTACCCTACTTCTGTAGCTCAAAGTAGAACATTACTTCTCTTCTAGACTTGTTGATGATATTTTAATTGTAGGTTTTGGTTTATAAGATCACAGAGGCATATCTCCATAATTTCAGCTATTTGGGCTTTTTAATGTATATTACAACTGTTGCTGCCTTTCTCATATATATTAAAATATTGCCGGCTTTCTGATATATATTTAGGTGCTGCTAGCTTTTTGATATATATATTTCACTGGCAATACAAGGCATAGAATTTGAACAAACGGGGCTGAGCTCCCTCCAACACACCCCTGTTTGATCATTAAACACATATAGAAGTTTTGTCATTCCTCAACCAATAAATTTAACTCTTTGCTAAATTAAAGATTGGATCAGACTCATATGCTGTATAAAGACTACAAACAGTAGCATTTATAGCAAACAGACTGTTCTTCAACAACAGAAATGTTTCATATTATAGAAATAACATATTCATTTTAAAGAAATGCTTCACCAAAATTTTCAGCAGAATCCCAAACAAACTTTATTAGAAATAAACTTTAATACTTTATAAAGTGATAAAGGCGAAATAACTTCATATACAGGAATAAAACGTTTAAGGTCAAATGCATCTTGGTCAAATCATATTTCAATAACTAAAAAGTAAAAAAGTCTGTCATTTTCTGCTGAGCAAGAAAATTTTGTGATCTTTCAGAATAAAAATATCATGCTTGGATTAAATTGGGGGCATAAATCACTCACTACCATTAAATTGTTACAAATCTTGAACACAAATCTCTCGGACCAAATCTGCATGATTACTATGATTCAAAGTTTCGAACAAAGTCTTGTCCAAGTATTTGATAACACTGATGCCAGGATAACATTGCCGCTTGCCACCAAGCTTAAAGATCTTGAAAACTTGTTACAGAGTCGGAACATAAGCCGAGAAAACACGTTCACGTACGAAAATACTTCTTACAATGGGTCACGATCAATTTGAAGCACGAACTAGTAAACCGCAAACGAAGCTCAAACCAATGAAATTAAATCAGGTCTGCCGCAAATCGTTAAAAAAACGCAAAGAGCTTGCTATTATTCCTAATATATTTGATACTACCATGGAATAAGCTTAAATTGCTTTCTTCTTTTGCATATGAACCCAATTTCCAATAGTATTATTATAGTTTCACTTTGCAAGTAGGAACCAAAATGGCGGCTCCGCGCTCGCCCCAGACCGTTTGTCCCAACTCTTATACTATAGAGGGCTCTGCCCATAACCTGTTAAGAATATTTAGGTAAAGAATGAAAGCATCCATTGATTGATTTGGATATATTTATTATAGTTAACAACAACAGCGTGTGCGCAAAAAGGCAGTACGAACAGAACAGAATATATTATCATCACATGACATAGTTAATCATTATAGCATGACTTATATGAAGTTCTTCACCAAAATCTGACGAATTCAAAGAAGAAAGCAAACGAAACGAAAATTGAAAGATACCCCCTGGAAATTACTCAGCTAGGCTCCGAGTTAAGCATAAGTTTCTTAGAAGTCAGTGGCGAAAATTTACAGATCGTGTTAAAAAGAGAAGCGGAAAGGCACCGATTGTTGAGCCAGAGTGGTTCACCATCATTAATCCAATATTTTCTGATACCATGGGAGATGCAGATGTTGCTTCCTGTAATGGTGATGTTCTGTTATCTTACGAATCAGACAATTCATTGTCAGATTCAGACAAGGAGGATGAGACAGTTGATAGACCAGATACACCTTTTAGTAATACCAGCGGCCTTAGCATTGAAGCAACTGATAATAGTGGTGATGATGATGTACTAGAAGCCACTACAAACAGTAGCTCCAGCAGTAACACCAAAGGGAAACATAAAGCTAAACTTGAAATCAGACCTTTTTTTCAAAAAAGAGTAAAAAGCCAAGCACAAGCAATTCAGAATATGGCCAAGTCTTTTTCTGATATGGGAGAGATGCAAAGGCGTTCAGAGTTATTTTCTGAAGCTGAAAAGAAAAAGCAACAGGAGTTCCTAAATTTTCAAAGAGAACAAGCAGAGCTCAACAGGCAACACGAAATAAAGATGTTGGAAATGATCATGAAGTACAGTAGACCTTATCAATCAGAAGCCCACATCTTCGCCCTCCAAATATCCAGATTGCTCACCAGCAGTCTCCTCACAACATGTATCCCTATGGTGGTTTTAATTTCAGTCAACTTGAATCCGAAGTACAAACCACACATGACGGTACCACAAGTCTAGGTATGCCAATGTCAAATCAGCATAACCAACCTTGGTATGAACGTAATTAAGTTAAGTGAAAAACAGCAGTGTATTAACTACATGGTCAGCATCAACAATTAAATAGTATAGTTTAGTTGTCAATTCCAAAGATTTGATGTTGTTTGTTTTTTATTTTTTCTGTGTTATAAAACTGAATCAATAATGTTAATTGAGTGTCAAAGTACCTATATATTGATGACAAATTGTGCAAAATGCATGGAAACATTTAATTTACTTGTATATGCTTGTTAATTGGATGTTAATTGTGACTTTGGAAATATCAATGTAAAATATTCCTTTATTTGATTTTATTAATATTTTGATGCTGATATTTTTTCTGTTTTCATGTAATACAAAAAATATTGATATTTTTTCCATTAAGTGAACACATTCCAGTATATTTGTGTACAATGTATACATTGTACACAAATCAAAATATAGATGAATCATTGATTAAAATGAAATTTTTGTTGAAGGAAACAAATTAAAACAAATTTACAAGTATATTGTATAGGTATTTAACTTCATCAATAAACGTGAGTCTTACACTAAATGTTAATTTTCCTGAGTTTTCCAGCTAAATACAAGTATATGTTTTATTCTGGTTAGGTTTGTTCTCTGTGTGAGAGTTAACTTTTGTAATAGTCTCTGGCCACAAACTACTGGCAGATGAGAAATAGCCAAATGCTTGAAAGACAGTTTGGTTAGTGATGCACCTCACTGAGGAAAATGCATATTAGAAGATGACTTATGTTGTAACAACAACAGATTTTATGAAACACAAAAGCAAAATTGCTAAACTATTAAACTATTAAAACTTATTCATAATTTATATGGCTCTTTCTTGCCGCAATGTCCATAGCCAATTAGATATCATGCATCTTACATCTTCAGCTGCATTTGTTGCTTGGCCAGATCCACGAATGAGATTGAGCTGGTTTACTTCAAAGCCATCTGGGCTTACATGGATCATTTCTGTCAATGCAAATGTTATGTAGCAAAATGCAAGTCATGATTAATATTTGAATATTATCCAAATGACATTCTGTCTTCTTGTACAAGATTCGCCATCTACCTTTAAGCATTCCATATGCATGCTCGGACACAACTCGGGCAGAATAAAGCCTCCTGTTGAAGTACCTTTTTTGGGGTTCTCGCATTCCTTCTTTATATGGCTTAAGCAACCACGAGTGGGATGGAAAGGCTGAATCACCAACAGTTGTAAGTGGTATTTCTCCACAGGGTTGTAGGTTCAGTGATTTTTTTGGCAGCACTTTGCCATGTTCAATTTCTGAGTATACTTCACAATTCTTTAAAAGCCTTGAATCATGAGTTGAGCCAGGTGCACCTACTGCAGCAAACATAAACTTTTTATTATATCCAATAAACCCCATATTAGTAACAGAATATTGCTTCTTTTAACTATATAAATTCTTCAATCTACTCGAAACATATACATGAAAGCCATCCCATGCCCCAACACATGGAAACTCCCAATTTTCAAGAAACCCTTGGAGTTCGTGTGTCCATTCATCTATTGTCTTTGGTAGGTAAATAAACCTGTCATACAAGATCTTGACCAGCACTTTGCAAACGTCCATGAAGATGCAATAAGCAGTTGATGCAGCAACACCAAATAAATCTCCTACTGTTAGATAGGTAACTCCATGTGCCAACCGATACAAACAAATTGCCAATTGTGTATCAAGAGTTGTTGGATGGGGTTTCATTCGAGTTGGTTGTTTAACAATTTCGTGACCAATTTCGTTTAGAAGAAAATCAAACGTCGCACGAGACACTCTGAAGCGCCTCTTGAATGCTGCATCACTCCAAGATTGATAGCCTTCAGACCACCAAGTATTTCTCCTGCGCTCATCAGGACGCCTGTCCTTCCTTTGTTTTCTAGTGAGAAAAATAACAGATGATGCTGCAGCAAGCGCTAGCTCGATCTCATCAGCTAATTCATCTTCGAAACGACGCTTTGCTCGTGTAACGCTCTCTCTTTGCCACAAAAATAATCTTTCTTCATTTAATTTTCTTTTTCAAGATAAATGCTTCACCAATTGCATTTCTGCCGCCATTTTGAATTTGAATTTTCCGCCATAGACGTTTGCTGCCGAGCCTCCGAATTGACAAGTTCGTCTCGTTCGTCTATATGAATTTTGTGTGGATAGTTCGTCTCGTGTTTATACTTAGACGGATGATCTGTCAGACGGATGATTCGTCCAGATAGTCCAGCTGTTAACGACAAAAAAAACACCTAACCCTTCACTTTGATGATACAAGTATGAAACTTTCTCACATTCTTACTATGCCTAGTAACACAAAATTTTGATATAGGGCCAGCCCATATTTTACATTTAAAACGAGTTCTGCGAATGTCGTGTTTGATGACGTCATCGGTAGTAAAAAAATAAAGTTCAAAGAAATCTGCAATTTCCTGTATTTCTTATACAACAGCTAAAGACGATAGAAAAACTATATTACAACTTTTTCTTTTGGGCAATACTTTCCCAAATATTGTGCATGACTTATTCTGAAAAGTGCTAAGTCAGCATTTTTATATATATTATATATATATATATATATATATATTATTATGGATAATATTCCTGGATAAAAGAGCGCTCAATATTCTATATATTAGAAGAGCGTAAGATAAAATGAACTAAAATAAAATGGACAATTGTTTGCTGAACTAAAATAAAATGGACAATTGTCTTCAGGCAACGAGTTGCCTGAAGATCGCCCTACGGCGTGAAACTCTGAGTAGCAACAGCAAACAATTGTCCATTTTATTTTAGTTCATTTTATATATATATATATATATATATAAAAGATGAACGTTTCTCCGGATTTTTAAATGATTTTTATTGAGCTTTCGACTCGTTGCTTCGAGCCTTCATCAGAGTGAGGATATTTATTTACACGTGCTTTTAGCTTGGAGACGTTTAGAGCGTCTAATTGGATTAGTGGGTGGATTAATGTGATTGGATGGGGTGAAATGCGTTGCCATGGGTTTTGGTGTGTTGTTAATATGGTTGGTGTTAATAATATTAGAGTGTAGTGTTTTAGTTTTGGTGTTGTTTGTAGTTTTTTTGTCCTTTTTCTTTAATTGTGAGTATATGATGGGTATGTCGATATGTCTGTTTATTGTGTCGTTGTCTTCACTGTACCAAGCTTCTTTAAATTCGCGTGGGTGTTTAGTCTGTGCGCGTCCGAGTACTTTAGTTTCTGTCCAGTCGAATGTGTGGTTGCTTCCGTGGGTATGTTCTGCCGGTAGTGAGTTCGGATCTCGTCGTTTTATGGCGTTTTTGTGTTCTGTGAGTCTTGTTTCAATTTTCTTAGATGTTTGTCCTATGTATTGTTTTGAACAGTCTTTACATGGTATCATGTAGATCGCGTCAGTTGTATCATGAATTGTTGTTTTGTCTTTATGTTTGGTGAAACATGATTTGAGTTTTTGTGTAGGTTTGTGCGCGACGTTAATATTAAATGGTCGAAGAAGTCTGGCAGTCATTTCTGATGTTCCGTTTATGTATGGTAATGTGACGATTTTTACTGTTTCGTCCGGTTTTTTGTTGCTTTTGTCGGTTTGTGTTTTGTTTTGTATTTTGTATAAAGTTTTGTTTATGAAGTTTCTAGGGTAGTTGTTTTTAATAAATGTGGACATAAGTAGTTGCGTTCTGTTTTTTTGGCTTCTTCCGTATTACAATGAGTGTTTATCCTGTTGAAAAGTGTTCGAATGCAGCTTATTTTGTGTTGTGTTGGATGATTGCTGTTGAAATCGAGTATTTGGTCTGTGTGGGTGGTTTCGCGGTATACTTGTGTGTTTAGTGTACCGTCATCTGTTCTGGTTAGTAGGATGTCGAGGAAGGTAAGTTGTTTGTCGTGTTCTTCGTCTTTAGTAAAGGTAATGTTCTTTGTGGTATTGTTTATGGTGTGTAGGATTTGTTCAGTTTTGTCTTTCTTGACTATGGCAAAGATGTCGTCGACATTTCTTTTCCATAGTCTGATGTTTGTGTTGTTTGTGACTGATTGTGTTTCGAGGTGTTGCATGACAGCTTCTGCGAGGAAGGTGGATAGTGGTGATCCCATTGGCGTGCCTGAAATTTGTCTGTAGTATGTGTTTTGGAAGGTGAATTCAGTGGAGAGGCAAAGGTTGAGTAAGTCTAGGATGTCATTTTTGTCTAGTTGTGTTGTAGCTTGCCAAGTTTTGTCGTTTGTGAGTAGTTCGTTTGTAATGGTATGAGGTGAATTTACCGCATCAACCAGAAACTGAAACATTTAAAAGACAAAAAGAAACTAAACGAAAACGACTACAGAAGAATCCGACCCAATGACGCATCCACCGCCAAATTCTACGGACTACCAAAAATCCATAAAGAAAACAACCCACTTCGACCTATCGTATCGCTTCCAGGATCACCTACGTATGAACTTTCAAAATATCTTTATAACATTCTGTATCCATTAGTCAAAAATTCACCTCATACCATCAGAAATGCCACCACTTTCCTCGCCAGTATTGAAAACATTAAACTAAGACCAGACGAAATCATGATATCCTACGACGTGACCTACAGACAAATTTCAGGCACACCAATGGGATCACCACTATCCACCTTCCTCGCAGAAGCTGTCATGCAACACCTCGAAACACAATCAGTCACAAACAACACAAACATCAGACTATGGAAAAGAAATGTCGACGACATCTTTGCCATAGTCAAGAAAGACAAAACTGAACAAATCCTACACACCATAAACAATACCACAAAGAACATTACCTTTACTAAAGACGAAGAACACGACAAACAACTTACCTTCCTCGACATCCTACTAGCCAGAACAGATGACGGTACACTAAACACACAAGTATACCGCAAAACCACCCACACAGACCAAATACTCGATTTCAACAGCAATCATCCAACACAACACAAAATAAGCTGCATTCGAACACTTTTCAACAGGATAAACACTCATTGTAATACGGAAGAAGCCAAAAAAACAGAACACAACTACTTATACTCCACATTTATTAAAAACAACTACCCTAGAAACTTCATAAACAAAACTATATACAAAATACAAAACAAAACACAAACCGACAAAAGCAACAAAAAACCGGACGAAACAGTAAAAATCGTCACATTACCATACATAAACGGAACATCAGAAATGACTGCCAGACTTCTTCGACCATTTAATATTAACGTCACCCACAAACCTACACAAAAACTCAAATCATGTTTCACTAAACATAAAGACAAAACAACAATTCATGATACAACTGACGCGATCTACATGATACCATGTAAAGACTGTTCAAAACAATACATAGGACAAACATCTAAGAAAATTGAAACAAGACTCACAGAACACAAAAACGCCATAAAACGACGAGAGCCGAACTCACTACCGGCAGAACATACCCACGGAAACAACCACACATTCGACTGGACAGAAACTAAAGTACTCGGACGCGCACAGACTAAACACGCACGCGAATTTAAAGAAGCTTGGTACAGTGAAGACAACGACACAATAAACAGACATATCGACATACCCATCATATACTCACAACTAAAGAAAAAGGACAAAAAAACTACAAACAACACCAAAACTAAAACACTACACTCTAATGTTATTAACACCAACCATATTAACAACACACCAAAACCCATGGCAACGCATTTCACCCCATCCAATCACATTAATCCACCCACTAATCCAATTAGACGCTCTAAACGTCTCCAAGCTAAAAGCACGTGTAAATAAATATCCTCACTCTGATGAAGGCTCGAAGCAACGAGTCAGCTCAATAAAAATCATTTAAAATCGGAGAAACGTTCATCTTTTATATATTCAATGCCTGGATTACAAATTTTCAAATATATATATATATATATATAGGAAGTTTATAATTTATGATTTTCCGTATAAAACAGTGCTCGATGCCCGAGGCAGAGCGTAAATATTGATAATAAGAAGAAAATACACAAAAACTACAATTTCATCCCGACAAGCCTGTTTCGTGATTGCTCACTCTTCAGGGGATTTAATGAATAAAATACTTAAATGCTTAAAATATATATACAAGATGACGGAAGTTAGTGTATTAATCAAGGTGTATAGTTTCAAGTTAGATGACGGAAGTTAGAGTATTAATTAAGGTGTATGGTTACAAATTACATAGGAGTGTTTTGGATCTATGGCGACAAGAGGAAACAAGTTCGTTGCGTTTATTGAGGGATGATTTGGATGGTTGGTAGAGGATGAAGAATTTTTCTTTGAGGCAAAGGTTGCATCTTTTACTGGTGAGATGGGATGAAATTGTAGTTTTTTGTTTATTTTCCTCTTCTTATCAATATATATATATATATATACA